AACATTGAGTTTGGGGGGGAGGGGGAGTGCTCAGTAATTGTTTCCCTCTACCGTATCCCCATCCCACTCCCCATCCCACTCCCCATCCCACTCCCTATCCCCATCCCCACCATCCCCATCCCACTCCCATCCCCATCCCACTCCCTATCCCCATCCCCATCCCACCGACCCCTATCCTCACCACCCACCAAACCACCCCAACCCAACCCGAAGGCTCAGATTTACCCTCGATTTCCAGTGGGGGGGATCGGGAAACATCGAAAAATCACATTTGGAACCCTTACCCCCCCCAACCCGAAATTCGGGTCTTCGGGTTGGGTTGGGGTGGTCTGGTAGGTAGTCATATCCCCATCCCACTCCCCATCCAGACCCTCACCATCGCACCACCCCGGTGGAGCGACGGAAGAAAACGGGGTCGTCGGCGCCGACGCTGGCGCGGAGGCTGCCCGCCCAGGGTCGCGCACGAGCGCCCGCGTTTCGAATGTGGTGTGCCGCGCTGGCGGCCCGCGCAAGCCTGAAGGGGAACTGGGACACACAAATAAATACACACAAATAAAAATATCCCCCGTATTTTCCTATATTTTCTTGGTTTTTGTCTTCCTCCCCACTTCCCATATTTTCCCATATTTTCTGGAACATGTACGATTAATTGTGTCTGTGTGTTTCTTCCCCTCCTGAAAGCCGTCGCGTGATGTCGCTACGTCGTCTCGCGTCAGACCCCGTTTTTGTGGTCGCTCGGTCGCTCAGTGGAGGGCAAAAACCCCAGCCTGTATCTTCGAGGGTGAAAGACCGGCCCCCCACTCCTAATGATGCTGTGAAGACGTGGCCTCACGGAGGTCCCCGTCTGCTGCATCAGGGATCACAGGTCTGGGCCGACTGGTTCGATACGTCTGAAGAGAAGAGCCCCATATCCCAGAAGTTTTCGGGCTTTCCTGGCTTAGGTTCCCTTCAGTGGGTTAGGGGTATTCTTCTGATTAATCACTACAGGCCTTGGAAAACATAGCGAACACGCATACCACATTTATCGGTCAGCGCTTCCCACTCCCCCCAATGTTCAAAGTTGGCGGTGGGTCTGATGAGTTGCAACTTGACCGCAGTCTCCCCCGCGCGTGCCAACTTTGAGTTTTGGGGAGCGGGGGAGTGGCCACTAATCGTTTCCCCCCTACCGTCCGTCTGCAGAACAAAAAACCCATCCCCGACGTTTTCGACCCTGCTGACTTAGGCCCCCTCCCACAGGGTTAGGGGGTACTCTTATGGTGAATCACCACATCCCGATCTGGGGGGGTAAAACCGGGGTCGGCGTTCCTAATGTAACGTGCCGCGCTGGCGGCCTGCGCAAGCCGCCGCGTAAGGTCGCTATGCCGTCTCGCGTCAGACCCGTTTTTGATCGTGGCCCAGTTGAGGGAATATCCCAGCCTTCCTCGTCGAGTATAAAAGAACCCCTAACCCTGATAACACATGGAAGACGTGGCCTCACTGAGGTCCCCGTCTGTGCATTAGGGATCGTACATCTGGACGGTTTGTTTCCGTGGAAACAAAGAGCCCCTGCGGTAGGGTGAAACAATCAGTGAACACCCCCGCTACCCCAAACTCAAAGTTGGCACGCGCGGTGGAGACTGCGGTCAAGTTGCAACTCATCAGACCCACCGCCAACTTTGAACATTGGGGGGAGGGGGAGGCGCTGACCGATGAATGTGGCATGCATGTTCGCTTTTTTGTCCGAGGCCTGTATATCCCAACCTAGGGTTATGATGTTCCAACCTTGTTTGGCCTTGATCACCAGAAAGAGTTTCGAGCACCAAGACAGCACCGAAACTGGAGGGTTCTCACATATCGGGCCCTGGGAGGCGATACTCGTTCGACACTGCTTCGATACTTGTCTGGGTGCTCGAAATTCTTTCTGGGATGTGGTTTCTAAGTGCAATGGGAGCACCAGAAATCTGGGGGGGGGTAACGCCGGGGGCCGGTGAAACGGTGTGAAGGGTTGGCGTCATGGCTCGACTAGACGTAAGAGTGACCTGTCGCCAGAGTGACCATTGGTGCGGGCCAAATGGGGCCCCTCCCGATCGCCGAACGCGATGCGGTGGTAGCGTCTTGCGCGCTTGTGTTTGGTCCCCCCGCGGCCCCCACAAAGCCGCGCACTGAAGGTCACTCTTACACAGGGTTGTGGAGGACGATCAATGGAGAGGAAGCACGTTGCCACATAATTTCCAGATGTCTAAAACATGTGTTAAGCATCTGTTTATAACATGTTGTTTATACATGTAAAAAACATGTTTAAAACATGTTGAGAACATGCTTACGACATTTTAAACACATTTTATAGTCAATGATAGAACTGTTCGGGTGTCCATTGTCGTGGCATCCAAAAACCCAGGGACACTCTTGCGTGTGGCCGAATGGCCCTCACGGGTGGGGCCTCTGGCCTGGCCCCCTGCCCCGGCAGACGCAGGAGCGCTGGCTGCGGCGGGAGACGAGCTGCCCCTGCTGCAGGCAGGAGGTCGTCGCGGCCGCCGGAGGGGGAGACGGAGCCGGAAGGGAGGAAGATCGAGAGCGAGGAGCATCGAGGGTCGAGCTCGGCGTGTTCAGTTCTCGACCCTCTGGGGCGTCGGTGGGGCTTCTCGTCGCCACTGCTGGATTCCCTCCGAAATGCCTTCCAGGATGCACACCTGGAGAGGTCCAGGCGCAGATACTTGAGGAGAGGATGAGAAGGAGTAGGAGGAGGCGCAGGCGGAGGCGGAGGTGGAGGCGGAGGCGGAGGCTGAGGAGGAGGAGGAGGAGGAGGAGGAGGAGGAGGGCCAGCGTAAATCCAAGAGGCATCAACGATGTTGCAATACGCCTTTCGTCCAAGTTCCCGCTTCGTAGGTCCCTAGTGGAGGGCCTGGAGAGGGCTCCCAAAGGGGCCTCCCTGCTGTCAAGGACGAGTACCGCCGTCTTGACCGCAGGGGGCCCCTCTCGGGGTCTCTCGGGGTCTCTTGGGGCCCTCTTGGGGCCCTGCCTCGCAGGGCCTGTCTGGGTTTTGCGCAGCCAGGTGCGACTGGTTCGGCCTGCGCGAGATTGGGCGCGCGCGTTCGCGGGGATTCGCGTGTTTCTGCGGGGTTTGTCGCATCAGTCGCGCTGCCGTGACACTGTGTTTCGGCATCTTGCTGGGGGTCAAACAGCAAAGTGGCGCGTGCCCGCGTTGGTCCTCGCCTGTTCGAAATGGCGCGCGGTCGTCTACTATGGGATCGCCATGGGACATTTGCCATTCGCGCGCATGGCCCCGCGATAGAAACCGCGAGAGGGGACTGCTTACTGCTTGAGCATCCGTGCGCTGAGCCATCTTGCGCGCCTGGGCCTGTCGCGCGCTGCGGCGGCCGTGCTTCTGCGGCAGCTGGCGTCTACTGCGATCCCCACCCCCAGGATTCAAGCAGCGATGCCTTTGGACTTGGTCTCGCTCGGACGTGTGCACTTTTTCTCGGCGGGGATTTCTGCGGAGCATCCTGGATCTTCCTGCGACAGAAACTACGCACGACACCGAACAAACACAAGGAGTGGACGTCCGAGCGATGGCCAGTGGAGGCAAACGCGCGGATCCACGTGTGGCGAGCGCGCACCGCGGCCGGCGCGGGACGCGCGGTCCACCACGCACCCCCGTGGCAGGGGCGCGAGTGCGCGAGCCAGCGCGCTGTCGTCCAAGATTCGGCGCAAACGTTCTCTCGTTCATGACCAGGCAGGACAAAGACATGGCGTCAGAGAAGTAGGCGGGCGCTGCCCGAACTTTCGGGCAACGGCGTTGCAGCGGCCGCGGCAATGTCCAGCGGAAGTGCCCATCACTCCTGCAACTCACTCCTGGTGCGTGCATGTGCCCAGTGCAAGCGTTCACGCAATGCGAAACGCGTGCGCGTACTCCGTATTCTGATGGATTGTAAAAGGCAGTCTGTGTTTGGTAATATCGGTGGCTTGGAAAGGCAGAACCCTGCTGTGTAGTTTTCCGTAGTTTGGAAGGAAAACATATGTTTGACATGCTTTGGCGTAGTTCAGATATTTCGCATATGCGGCCCTGTGTGGGCCTGCCCAGCAACGCAACGCTGGCCAACTGTTCACGCTGTCCTGTTTTCCACGACGCGTTGTCTAGACTTGCTCTTGCCCTGCCTCCTGGTTGGGCTCAGCGTAGTTATGTGGATAAGGTTTTCAAGAGCAGCTTTCCATGGGCCATTGTAGAGCACCTCAGAGACATTGCGATGCCCCTAGGTTTTGGTGCAAGCGCTTTTGATTATTGGAAAATTGAAGTTCTCGCAGGTTCTGGCCGTCCAAGACATGGAGGCGCCAGTTCGTGCACTCGCCGGGCGTTTCGTCCAGCTGCGAGCGCTGATGGTGTAGCTGACCACCGACGGGCCCCGCCTTTTCTATGGTCGTCTGACCCATCCTTGTCCCCCTTTCTTTCCTCCTCCCCCTCCTGCTCCACATTCCTCCTCGGTCCCGGGCGCGGCGTCCGACGTATTTTGATCGCGACGTTGCTCTTTGCAGAGGTTTCAACCATTTCAAGGAAGGGCCGCCTGCTCGTCCCGAACAGTTTTCGTCGACGTTTCCTGGGGCCTGATCAAAAGGGCACCAGGCGGCCGAACAGTGCAAACTAACAGCGTGTTTCCTTGAGGGAGGCTCATGCCAAAGGAGGGTCACGGATCGAACCCAGTAAGATGCTCTCATTTTTCCAGGTACCGTCCTGAGCAATTTGATCTAACCTCACATGTGCCCTGACCCCGCTTTTGAAGCCCCCAGACATCTTTTGTCACGGTTATTCGCGACGCGGAAATGCGAGGGGGCCGCGTTTCTGTTTCGAGCCGTTCTGTCGACGCCCCCCAGGGTCTTTTGGCCGAACGAGGCGAAACACCAGCCGCCATCTTTTTTTATGGGGGAGTGAGTGCGCAGTGCGCGCGTGCGCGCGTGTGTTTGCGCGTGTTTTTTTGCCGCGGCGCGAGGACGTCAGGTGGGGCGTGGCCCGACGCCCACAATCGCCCGACCCTTCCGTCGCGTTCTCTCTGGCGTGGCCCTGGCCTTTGACTTTCTCCCTGGTGCCCCGCAGTGCCATCTCGCGCCGCGCTTCGCTCGGGCGTTTCCCCGCGTCGCATGATAGGTCTTCTTTATTTTGCGTGCTGTTTCTATCGTTCGTCTGTCGTTTCCAGTTTTCTTGCGCCCTCCTCTTTCCTCGCCGGCGCCGTCGTCCCCTGGGAGGAACGCGGGCGGTCGTGCGATGGGGCTGCCCATCGAGGGTTGCCCATCGACTCCCCAGCCTCGCCGTCGCCGGTGGCATGTGGCGCTGTGAAGAAAACGGGGCGAATAGGCGTGGCCTTGCACCCGACGCTCCTGCGAGCCCGCGTTCCCTTCTACTCCTTCTCCCCTTTCCCCGTTTCCTCCGCGCCCCCCTCCTCTTCTTCCTCCTTCTCCTCCTCCTCCTCCTCGTCAATCCGTAGCCATTTTTGCTCAGGTTCCAAACCTTGCCCTGGGGCTTGGAGCTTGTTCGCCGCTGAGGGGCAGGCCCGAGCGCTCTCCACGGTCATCAGCTGACCCTGCCGCCCCCTTCGTTTTGTGCGTTCTGCCATCCAGTTTATCCTTCGTGCATGCGATGGCGGACGACGCGGGGGGGCCCTTCGGTCTTCGGCCCTGTGGCCCCCTCTATCGCGCCTGCCGTTGCGATGCCTGCAGCCGCGGCCGCTCGCTTTTGTGAAGCAAAGGCCGCTGGCAAGGGTGTGACAAACCCAGACCAAAACGCCGACTTCCAGCGCATGTTCCAGATGCTCACATCGATGCAGACTGGGCAGGCCAACCTCACCACCAAGGAAGACCTGAACAGCGTGCGCACGGACCTGACTGTCCAGACTCGACGCATCGACAATCTCCAGGAGAGAATGAACTCCACGGGTGTACAAATTTATGATTCACGATCGGCGGCGCAGACAAAAGCGATCAACGCCATTTTGGACCAGAAAATCGCCGAGATCAAACGTACTATGCCGATTGCCTATCCGCCGTCTTCGACTGCCTCGACTGCCGCATTCCTGCCTGGTGCCATGCGACCCAAGCTGGAGGCGATGTCTGACCCGCGTAAAGTGTGGATCGGAGGGTTTCCCCGACCTCTGCTCAGGCGAGCTCGCGAGCAACATGGGCGCAAGGTACTTGCAAACCTTCCTGAAGCAGCGCGTGAATGTGCGGTGGTCAAAGGCCACAGCTTGCAGAAGAGCTACAGCATCGTCTTCTCCGACACCATCGACTTCGTCGAGCGCGTGCGGAACGACGGCGCGAAGTGGACAGACCCTCGTGGAGGTGTGATCCAACTTCGTGTTCGGAAAGACGCCACTGCAGATATGAGGCGCCGCAGCAGGATTTTCGGCTACCTGTGGGAACGTGTCCGCACTCAGCTCGCCTCCACGAATCAGTGGACCACCAACGTGAAGCTCGGTTCGCAGGGATTCAAGGGCACGCTCTTCATGATCATGGACGACGAGGTGAGGATTCTATTTCAGATTGAAGCTGGAGACAATGACCAGCTCACGATCATTCCGAGCGACCAAGAGCTGCAGCATTTCGCGATCGATGATCCAAGTTACGATCCGTGGAACGCTGCTGCGCAATAGGGAACGACCTTGCCAATCCGAACTTCTGTCGATGCGGGGTGCGCTGTCGCAACTATGGGTTCGCAAAGCATCCTCAGCAGTGTAGACGATGGCGCGCGTCGACGCAGTGTTCTAAATCGCAGTTCTACCTCCGCCGCGAATTTGACGGCTTCGTTGGCTTCGTCCTCCTCCTCGTCTTCTGGGTCCAGATCTGTATTCGGGGTGGATTTCGTGGGTTCCGGCATGCTGCCCTCCCTGCCGTCCAGCCTGTTCTGCAAAATCTCTTTGTACTGCTGCTTCCTGTTTGGTTATCTTGGGTCACGTCCTCCATGCGCTGCTAAGACATGTTCCAGGCCTGTGGATCTATTGGGCCATCATGAGACCGGACGTCTCCTCACCGACCCGTGAGCCCTAGCGTTATTGTTGGTATCATTTTCGGCATGTGCAGGATAGCCTCTGACGTTCCATGTTCTGTATACTTCAGTGCTCTCTCAACCTGTTGCAACTGCTCGTGTTCTTTATTCTGTAGTCCGACTCACGCGTGTGCTGCATTTTGCGCTGTAGTCGGCGACTCTCTTCGGCGCGTGAATAGCTGCTGTTGCACCGAATGTTTGTTCATGCGCTTGCCCCGATCTTCCTCCGCCCTTGCGCGTTGCTTCCCATCTTGCCCGCCTCGCATTGTCCGTTCTTGCGCCCCTGTCCAGTCTAAGTATTGGGCATCACGTCGATATATTGTATCTTGCGCATCATTATTCGAGGCGCTCGGCCCATGCTCTCGACCGTTGCGAGCCGCCGGCTGGGCCGTAATCGACTGGTCGCTTTCTGCCGAGAATCTCACGCGCTGCGCTGTATGGTCGCTGCTAGATTTGCCAGCGCAGCCCGGCCAGCTGCGCCTGCGCCGAGAGCG